AAAAAAAAAAACAAAGAAAGAAAAGCAATACTTCTACACGCACCCAACTTATTGGATGGCCACTGGTCCTGGATTCTTGACATTGGACGGGTACTTCGCGCCCTCTAGCGGCTTGATGCGGAATTGTTGTCCCGGATATATCTCTTGTGCGAGCGCCTCCAAGCCATCGGTGCGGCCAAAACCAGGTTCGGCCTTGGCTCGGTGAATGCCGTATTTCTTAGCATTTTCTTCTTCTAAATCAAAGGCAGCCTTGTCCGCTGCCTCAAGCGCTTTATAAGCTACGTCTAGCTCGTGAAGAGGAGGGAGTTTCACTTCGCCCTTTTCAATCTCAGCTGCCTCCTGTATGGTGTGCGGTGTGTACGCGATACGCTCCCATGATGCGAGACGGTCAAAAAGTGTGCTACGGCGGTTTACTTGATCCAGCTCATAGGTCAAAATCCAGTTGTCATCAAACCATGGGTTTGGCACAGTCCACGGCAGTAGCTTGCCAAAGAAGCGCCCAATACCCCGATAGCAGGGGAAAACGAGACGACCGTTGAAGTGTGAGGAAATGTTTCGAAACCCCTCAACGTGCGTCAGTGTCTGGGGACCACCCAAATCGAACTTGTAGCGCACAGCCCGGTGAGCCATTGAGCAACGCACCACAGCCCGCGCCGCATCCACAACCCACGTCGGCTGCACTAGGGTATTGGGGAAGCACGCTGGATAAATGTAGCGTCCAAGACCCCGATAGCGATATTTCTTCCCATACAGTGGACCAAAACGAATAATTGTCGCATCTGGGTGGTTGGCGCCCACCGCATCCTCTGCACGGGCACGGAAGTCACAGTAATTTGACTCGGAGGCAAACGTTGCATCCAGACCATTGCAGAAGATCACACGTTCCGCCCGTACACTACGCGCTGTCCAGCTCACATTGGTAGCCCCTGTCAAAAATACGTCATGGTGGCTATTGTTGGCGTATTCTGCGTGATAATCGACAGCGAACACCAGCGTATCACTGCCATTGGACGCCACGTTGACTTGAATGCGGTCCGTCACGTCACACTCGTGGAGTTCAATCTTCTCAGGGTACTTCTGGAGGAGCAGGTCAAGGTCGGATCCAGCTGGGATGAGGGTAGGGTAGCGCGTTGTGGCACATACCTTCTCAATGTCGGGGTGTTCGCAGAGCTCCCGCACAATCTCCGCGCCGAGGTAACCGCTGGCTCCGAACACTGTTACCCGTCTCGCAGGCTTAGGGTTCAGGCGGCGGCGTTCGTGCGGTAGTCGCACCGCCGGGTTCGGAACAAGCATTGCAGCCCAGTACGGGCCTCGCTCATAACCAAATTCACCACCCGTGGTCTTTGGCTTGCGGGTGGGGTACATCTGCTCCAAGTCCTTGCGATCGAGAAACATGGACTCCGGCTGGTGGCCGTACGGGTCCCAGAATGCACGCATCGACGTCGCCGCCACGCGGCACGCGGCACCACTTCCCCAGCGACGCATCGCGTTTTTCCCTCTCGTTTCTTTCCTACTTGCACAGAACGCAGAAATAGCACACAAGGCAGGGTAGGGCAAAAAAGCAAGAGGGAAGGACGGACAAGCAGGAAGGGGAGAAAAGGAAGCAAGAAAAAAGTCAGCAGTGGCGATAATTCCTCGTCATCATTTGCCATCTTCCTTTTCCCTTTCCTTTTCGGCTTTTTTTTTGCTTCTGCGTTGCTTTTAGAGCTCATCTTCATTTCTCGCACACTATCCTCTGCAATTCCTTCGCTGTGTCTCCAATAAGGAGCGTTGCCACACACAGACACACACACACACAGACACCTCTCACTCCCCACTACTGCTATTTTCACCCCTTACCCCCACAAAGACCAGCAGAACTCCTTCACACTTTAGAAAATAGCGGCCTTTTTCTGCTAAAGCAAAACCTCTAGTTATTGCTCCAATGTGATACTCCAATCATCCATAACAGGCAAGTCGGGTTTGCGCAGAACCAGTGCCCCGCCTTGCAATTCGTACTCAATTTCTTGTCCAACAAGGAGCGACTGCGCTGCTGTTTCCACAATAACGCGCTTGGGTCGACCTTGGTAACCAAATATGATAACACGCTCCACTCTGTTTCGCACAGTGGAGAATGTGGAGGATTGCATGGCTTCAGGATGTGCCGTACATGTGAGACGGTTCTCTGTGAAGGAGAACCGGCGATGAATGTAAGCCCCCGATTCGTAAGCGAAGGACTCGCCGTCGTCAATAAAAAGATCCCCGTCGCTATTGCCACGCTCGTTTAACGCGATGTAGAGTGTGAAGGGATCATGCTGGGCACTGTACGTGCCACGCCGCAGACGCAGCTTTGCCGGTATGATGTGACCGCCGCGCAGAAAGAGCGGAATGGTGTCCATGTCAACCGCCATGTGCAGGGGGCCGGGCGGCACCACCTCACCCGTGGTGTATGAATACCACACAGCCCCCGCAGGCACCGTAACGACTTTCTCCTTCGCGCCCCGCTCGAGCACAGGCGAGACGAGGAGCGAGGGCCCGAACATGAACGTGTATTGTTCGTCGTACAGTGTCTCATCGTGGGGGAACTCGTAGAAGAGTGGGCGCAAAACAGTGGATCCTGTCTTGTGGCTGAGGAAGAACTGCGTGTACAGATACGGTAGGAGAGAGTAGCGAAGCGCCAACGCAACGCGAATACGATCCGTTGCAGCTTCGCTGAACATCCACGGCTCACGCCGCTTAGTCTCCAAGTGTGCGTGCGCTCGCATAAATGGGTAAAATACACCACCTTGCATCCATCGTACAAAGAGTTCCTCATCCGGTTCATAGAGAAATCCGCCTATATCAGCACCACAGAATGCGTAGTTTGACACTGAGATAGACAACAACTCTGGGAAAGAGTTTTTGAAGTGATCCCAGTGTGCCATGTTGTCGCCAGTCCACATTGCTGCATAACGCTGTGAACCGGAGAAGAAACTCCGCGTTAGAATAAATGGCCGCATGGCGTGCTCAAGACCCTTACTACTCTCAATGTGTCCTTGGTGAGCAGTCATCACGCTGAAGAATGAGTACATATTATGTACGTACTTGTTCGAAACCAGCCTACCACTGTCACTAGTGTGCATGGCGTCGCGGGACATCGTCTTGTCAGGGACCTCGAACACTGATGGTTCGTTCATGTCTACCCATGTATGTACGTCGTGACTACTTCCCTCATAGCGGTCATGATGGAAGAGTGAGGCATACCAGTCTCTTGTTCGCTTGTTGTAAAAATCAACCCATGAGCTCAGCCCGGGCCAGCATTTACCCTCGTAGTCGCTTTTCCCGTCTGACCCCTTCACATAATGATTGCCTTTCACCGCTTCCTCATGCACATGATAACCAGCCTCACGCTTGACGTGTGGGTCCTTGATAGTGACGAGTTTTCGTCCCTTCGATGCCAGAGCCTTGACAAGCACCGCAGGTTCAGGGAAGTTATGTTTGTCCCAGGTAAAGTACTTCTTGCCGTCTGTATGTTCAATATCGAGCCACAGGGTATCGTACGGCAGGTTGTGCCGGTCAAAGCCCTGATCGACACTCAGACAGTCGTTAGTGTTGCGATAGTTCCAACGGCACTGATGATAACCCAGGCTGAAGTACGGCGGCAGCATGGTGGCACCTGTGATGGAGGCATGTTGCTGCTGTACTTTTGCTGGCGTCGGTCCAGGAAATAAAAACAAGTCGACAACACCAGCCTCCGCGTTCCATGTACACCCTACTGTCTCACCGAATCGCACATGCAGTGTCATGCCAGCACTGTTGAGGAAAAGCACACCCGTGGAGGCCGTTGCAGAATGAGCGAGAAGGAAAGGGACTGTACCGTAAAGCGACTGTGGATTGTCGATTTTGTATTGAAAAGAGTCCGTGTTATACATGTCATACGTCACATTTTCATGGAGCGCTAAATCCATCGCGTGCTCGGGGACACCGTAGAGGCGCCGGGCGGAGGGAAAAGCAAACGTCACAGACGGCGCATCCAGAGTGGCCAGCGATACATTCAGGGATGTAAAATGGGAACCGCCACAGTGGTATGCCGCCTGGAAAATATCCTCTACGACGCTCGTTGTCATGACACACGGCCCGCTTCGAACGGTGCAGCTGGCTGCCGTGCAGCTTGAGTCAAGCCGTCCACTCTCCGGGTCCCGTACCACGACATTCTCGACTTCGTAATACCATTCCGTTTGTGGCCTCAATTTAAGCCGCAAAATGCCATTACCGTAGTCAGAAACGTCTAGAGAAGCTTTAGAATCCACCTTTGCAATTTCATGGCCGCTTACGCTCCCTGTCGCAAGCAATACAGCCGCAGGCAGCAGAAGCAGCAGCATCGGCAGCTCGTATCGGAAGCCCCAGAACAAAATTCCCGTCATGATAATTTGCTGGTTTATGGTAATTCCAGAGAAACTTCAAATCTTTAACGCCCACCCCACACACCAAGCAAACACAACAAAAAAAAAACACAACAACATCAACAGAAAACAATAAAAGTAGGTAATAAGAAAACACAAAAAAAAAAGAAGGCGTATTGTTGCAAGTGTAATCATGGAGTAGCATCAAAAAGAAACACACTGCTCTTATACGTTCATCCGTAAGGCAATGAGAATGGAGATCAGGATTGCCTAAGTTCCTGTTTCAGTGCTGCTCCATCAACATAGCGGAGACCACAGTTCATCGCAAACTGTGCGTCTCTCTTCCCCTGAGACGAGGGATTTGCGCTGCTTCCACTTGCGTCATCTGCTGCAGCACCCACAAGCAACGATTCCGCATCGGCGCGAAGTCCACCGTTAAGCTGGGCGATGAAGAACTGCCACACCCCAGAGTACGGGAGAACGAAGGGCATGCCATCACGCCTGTGTGAGGCGCTGATGTAAGACATCGTCGACAGCACCACTGTCACATCGCACTTGAAGTGCTTCTGACAAAGCTCTGCTATTGGGTGTAGTTTTGCCTCGAGAGCAAAGACATTTCCATGGTGAAGCGAGGGGTAGTGATCCAAGAGGACGATACGATAGCCCTTCTCCACCAGCTTCTGCGCCGCAGTCAGCAATTCCAGATCAATCAAGGACCAGGACGGGTTCCCGTGCTGCAGATAAGCATGTATCGGCTCCCGTCTGAGAAGGACATTGTCAATAATAAAAACGGCAATGAAGCGCGCAGCGTCCGTATAGGTTGATTTGGTAGAGGCGTCTGACGAACCACTCCGTCTAAAAATACGGTACATTATACGTCCATCTGGTATATTCCACGAGACCTCCTTCACACGCAGCGATGTCTCTGTCTTCCCGTGCGTCATAAAGTGAAGGGGCACAGCGTCACGCACTCGAATGAGGTTTGCCATTGTTTCCGTTATGATGGTACTCCCGTGGGCAGCACGCTCACTGCCAGACGCTTCCAGGGCCTTTTGCAGATGTTCTTCAAACACTGCATCGCTTCTTGCCCGTTTGCTCCGCTTCCCTAAGGAGCCATTGGGGCCTCCTGCAACAGTGGACATATCGGTAGCGCTTTCCGTACTCGTTCGCGTGTGCCTCAACAGCTGCTGTGGGTCATCTCCCTCCTCCACGAGGGCAGAACCTTCCGCAACAGCCTGTGTACTTGTGATTGGGCGATGAAGCAGCGTGATGCCCTTCGGCAGACGCTTCTTTGACATGCCTGTGGTGGCGCGAGCAAATATGATGCAGCCCTCGGGCACCACATTGGGCGGGATGGCGAGGTTCGACGCGTCAACAAATAACAGGGGGAGGTGAGCCAAGATGTCCGACCGGCGAGTGAACAGCTGACCTGTGGCATGGTTCAGCAGCACAACGGCGGTGGCAGGTGAAATTTGCACTGGAGTGTCGTCCTTCCCTCGCGTGGAGCGCAGCAACTGCAGAGGGACCCACACATCGGCAATATCCAACTTGTGGCTCGCGCAGAACCTCGTCAGTGTGTCGAGTCTCTCACTCTGCAACAGCCGGTATGCATCTGCCATGCATTCAACTTCAAGAGACAAACAACAAAAGATATACGCATAATCTAAGGAAACAAGGTTCCAAGCAAACAACTACACAAAGCATAAGGCGACTCATCTCGACAAACAGGACTCCGTTCACGCCAACACATACGCATAGAGAATGTATAGAGACTTTGAGAACAAATCATGCGAATACAGCAAGGCGAAACCGAAGGAAGGGAGAAACAAAAAAAGAAAAAAAAAACTAATTAATAACTACAAGAGAAACTCATTCGATAAGAATCCAACCACCGTTGCTACAGCTTGAAGACTCTTCCAAGTCGCCCTCGGAACCCTTTGTTTTCGGCGTCCACGAGATGGTCACAATTATAAAAGATACCCCGCCTACCTCCACGCGTGTCTCAGACACACTGCCGTTTCCATCTGCAGAGGGTGCAGGCTCGAAGCAGCACGCCACATCAACTCCTCCACCAGCACCAGCTAAAATCTTCACTTCGCAGCGACCACAGTCACCGTCAAGCACGACGGCATCGAGCACGGCGTTATCACCCTGCTGCTTCTCCTGCGAAGGAACGAGTGAGGATGGTGATGATGTGGAGGTAGTGGAAAAACGTCGCACAGCCGTCACAACGCAACTCCGCGATGGAAGCTCTGGTGAAGGAAGACAAATCCACTCGAGACCAGCCGCTGCGTCAAAAAAATCACTTTTATCACTGACGCCTGTGCAAAAGAATGTCGTTTCACTGCAATTAACCAATACAATTGGCTGGAATGACATTTCCTCCTCCTCCTCCTGCTGCTGCTCATTCTTGATCTGCATAGAAAATTTACTGCTAAACTCATTCAAGGTGCGAGTCATCAATTCCAACTTCACAGGTGTCACCATGCTTGGCGGCTCCCCCATATGGTAATTCTCATCAAAGAGAGCTGCCGTAATCTTTGCACGTTGCAACCGAGTTGAAGATTGTGTCAAGAGTGCCACCACACCCACCATGAAATTACATTTGCCTATAAACTCGGTTGTGACGCGGAAGACGGCCTCCTTGCTGCCGTCGCGAAACACACCGTCAAGGTTAACGGTGAAACTGAATGTGCGTGGGTCACCGTGCCACGCTTGTCCGGCGCTCTCGCATCTCAAACGTATCCGCTCGGGATCCGCTGCCTCTTTTTGGGCCAACTCTAACAGCTTCCGACGTTCAGCGTCCGTCCCGGCGTCACCACTACCACGTGACCGGTCAACCATGCGCACATCTGCAGTAGCAGCGAGCAGCATATCCCCTTCAGCCACCGCGTGGAAGAAAATGATAAGCAACACATCCGCCGAGGCACTATCGAGGGGAAGCATGTACGTTACCGCCCCACTCAAGGTGTTTTCAACAGCGTCGTCTCCACAACCAATCACGCCGCAGACGGCGCAACGTGACGACGGGACCGACTCCGGCGGCTCAAAATCGAAGTACCCGCCATGGACCACATGTGTGACGTACTTCAGCTCCGTGCTGAGCTCCTTTACGTCAGACACCATTCGGTTCGCGATCGCCAGTGTTGCACACGGCTCGCCACCCAAAAAGGAGCCCATGGAGGAACTTATGCGCTCCGACACTGACCTCATCGCACCAAGCTCCACAACCGCACCAGGGCTTCCTGCCGATCTCTCATACATTTTCCGTGTTGGACGCTCGGGTATGGCAGATACAATCTCTCGCAGCTTCGACGCGTAGTCAATATGACTCTTGACGAGAAACGTCACGTCGAAGTTTTCTACACCAGGAACGTTCACAGGACTGATACCAGCCATCGGCCGCAGTGCCGCTTCGTTCATCTTGTACATAAGCCAAAGAAGCCAGTCACTGCGGGAGTAGATATTGACGATGCGACCAGCCACAACACGTCGCAGCTCCCGCCACAATGCTCGGGAGGATGTTACTGTCGATCCCATCAGAAACACATTTTCAACAACACCAAACGCCTCTACACGATTTAGCTCGCGCAAACACTCCACAATGACACGTGACCCGAAACCAAAACCAATAAGAGAAACAGGGCGATTACCCTTATGCGGGTCTAAGAGGGCCCCCGCCAGATCCTTCCCTGTATAGCTTGCGCGGTTTGAAAGTGTGGCAAAAACATTGTCGATCACGCCAGTTGCCCAAACAGCATACATTGGCAGTGAGAAGGTCCCTTTAAGAGCATCGAGCGCACGAAGGCCGACAAAGAGAGCGCCTTGCAGGAAATAGTCTTTTGCTGCATCAGTTGCAGTCGAAACAACTTTGTCACCAAGACGATCGATGATTGGCGTCGTTGATCCCGCGTTAATGGTGCGACCAAACTTTGTCTGATATTCATCTTCCCAGTGCACCACATACGCCTCCGTCGCGCCAAACAAGCGGGCACCAGGTAGAAAAGGGGCCCAGAGCGCCACTTGTTGGTCCTGCTGAGGCCTCCGCTGGTCAAAGATTGAAACAAAACCACCAACAGCTATCGTGAGCGAGGGGGACTTATGTATTTCTGTAATCACAGCACGTTCAACAAAGTCTTCTATGCGCAGTTCAACCATGTGCAGATTCGTGTTTACGCGGAGGTCTGCTGATACAAAGGATCCTAACATCGGAATGGGCATGGGTCTACTACTAGGCAACTGCTCCAAGCTCAAGGGATACTCCATAAGTCCCTGCAAAGATAACCTTGCCACACAGGCTACGTTGATGTTGTTCCAAGCGCTCACCTCAAACTGAAGCTTCATGTAGAGTACTCGATGCAGAACCTGTATGGTGTCGTGAATATTGCCATTTACAACCTCGATAAGGAAGAAACCTTCAGCCCCCATCAGACTCATATTAGCGTTGGTAAACACATCGAGTGACGCCCGTTTAGAGTCAATGTTGGTTGTGTTATGGGGCGATTTAGAGCTTCGCACACCATTTAGGAGCACACACCTAAGTACACGTACCAAGTGCTTAGAGTTATTTACAATTGACACCCCAATCTGGCGGCGCGCCGACACTGTATTCATGGTTTCCACAATGCGTTGTTGTATCTCCTTGGCTGGAAAGGTAGCAGCACCAGAACATTCCTTAGATGCATCGCCTTCTTCGGTCAATTCCGAAATAAGAACAAACGGCATCGGCGAAAAGCGAGTCTCCACAAGTATGTTCTGGATAGTAAGTGTATTATCAGAGTCAAAAATTTCCTCGCGGAGCTTTTTGAGTGTCTCCCGCGGTTTAAACGCCTCTCGGACACTGGTAACAGCAACTGAAATGATCAAATTGCCCAGGAGAGAAAGTTCAGCTAATACCCAGAGACGCAGCATACAGGCAGCCGCAGCCACCATACCTGCCTTTGCCACTGGAACGATGTTGTAGCATACCGCACACCCCGCGCCAGTGGGGCGAGCGTAGCGATTAAGAGACACAAAAATGCCAGCGCTATCCTCTCCGATGATCTTTGGTGGCACAAGACCCCAAGTACCGGCTATTAGCTTTACAGCCTTCAACTCCAATCGGTATCCCCGCAATGAGCATTGCACAGCGAACGTGAGGCAACGCATGCGACGTTGAAATTGATCGCTTGTAGCCAAGTTCTGCATTGCAACCGCACGTGTGTGCGCTGGTACAACAATTCCACCTCTTGTCGTCTCCTCCAAGACGGTCTGGACACTCATCCATAAATCGTGATCCTTGTCCTCTGCTGCCACCCGTCGGCTGGCATCCCTCCACTGCACCTTCTGGCTCTCGCTAAGCACCGAAAGCAAAGCATTGTCGTTGCCGTCCACAAAGGGCGGAAGCTCCTCAATCTCCGTGGTGGAGCGGATCATAAACACATCTGAGTCTGCTGTGCGGCGATACGCCCTGTATCCTGCCAAGCTCGCCCCGCCAATACCGAACATGACGGTCATATGGGCTACTGTCAGCACCGGCGTGACGACAGCGACGAGAGCTGCGGTGTGTGTGGCTGCTCCGACCAGTCCTCCCATAACCACCGCTGCCGCCGTGCTGCCTAGCAACGCGCCACCAGTAGCACCAGCGAAGACGAGCGTCGAGGTGGTGGCGCTGGCAAGGGCGCTGAGCGCAGGCGCAATGAACGGGGCCGCAAGACCTCCTGTAAAAACAAGCGCTATTCCGCCAACCGCTGCGAACGTTCCGACAGTCGCCACACGGCGCACACTACTATTCTTTTCCTCCTTGTGGGATCGCACAGCCTGCTGTTTTTCCCGAAGCCCCAAAAAGCCATCGTCTCCCGAGGGCGACGGAGAAGACGCCACTGCATCCACCAATGCACCCTCGCGTGCCTCAACGAGATCAAAGGGTATCGCAAATAGCCAACAAAGACGGCGAACCGCAGCACGCAAATGCGCGTCGTACACGCCTGTGCGAACCGCCAGATTAAAAGGGAGAAGTGTTATGACGGGATCCAACTCGGGCGGAATGATGTCCATAGCCTCCTCCAGTTCTTGTCGTGTCATCTGCCGATCATACACTTCCTCTAGGCGGTACGGTGGCGGCAGTAGCAAGCCGTAGAATACATCCATAAGCCCCTGATCACCTACACAGGAACAGAGCAACCGACACACTGCAATGCGGTATTCGGGCGGAAGCTGCTTTTTCTCAGTGATCCTCTCCGTTGCGGTGATGAAGGCCTCTTGCAGCTCGTTCTCATCACGCGCCGCCCTGTACGGTTCCCACAGGAACGTGAAATCCCTGAATAACATAGAACCTCTTCAACAACAGTTGTGTTCCTCAGCCACCCTTTTCCTTGCTTCAAAAGTGCATGTGAAACACCAACAGGCAAAGTAAAGGAAAATAATTTCGATGTGATCGGGCCCGCTGGTACTTCTTTCTAAAATGCAACATGCACGACCCTCACTCCTGACCATATTCTCGATCCAAACATTATCATGGTACCTTTCTTGTCCTTCACATATCCATTGATCTATTCTTCTTCCTTTTCTCTCTCCTCTCCTGTCCTCTCCCAACTCTTTCGGTTCCACTTCATTTCTCGCTGTTTCCCCACATCTCAACAAAGGCAGAGTAGTCAAAGCAGCCCTCGCTAATGAAGTCCCACACCTCGTCCGCGATCTCACCGCTGCGGGCCAAGAGGAGACTTGCCGCATCCTCCATGGACTCAATGGATGGACAGTTCTCCAATACATAGGCGTCTAGCTCCGCCTCCACCTGCGCAAGCACGCCCTTGTGCAGTACGTGTCTCTCGTGGTCGTCAGTGACCGAGGAAATTGGGGGCAGTCGCTTGAGAACAGCGCTGGGGTCGAAGTTCACCATGAAACCCTCGATCACGCCCACAAGCTCGTCAAACTGTATGTCCTTGGCTGTACCACAGCTCCCACATACTATGAACTCTCCCTCCTCGGTGTCCATCGTGCTTCGTCACGTCCCCCATTTAAAACCAAAGCAAAGGGGAAAGAGTAGAATGAGGTAAACTTGAGCACACAAATAGACTTGTCGCAGGTAGACAAAGAAGTGTCAGTGATATTACAAACATGAAACGGCGCATCTATATATACATACATATATAGATATGCAACCCAACGCAATAATAAACAAAAATGAAAGAAGCGAACGCTTACCTTCGGTAGGCAACTACTATTGCTGTTATCAAGGCAGGGGAATATCCTCGTCCACGACACGTCTTTTTCCCTCATCTGCTACTCGTTGAAATGTGGTTGTCATTGTTGTGCCCGTTGTCTGGCGGCCTTTGCACCCCACGCCAATGCGTCGCTCCGCCTCGCGCAGCTCACGCCAAGTGAAACGAATATACCGGCTCGTGCGGGAAATAACTGCTGTGTAGTCTGGCACGAAGATGCCCTCCCGCAGGAGTACCACTTCTCCAAACGACGAGAAGCTGCGCTTTTCTGCTGTGAACGCGCCATCGCCCACAACGATACGCACACCACCGCTGAGTAGAAGCGTGAAGGCGTCACTCCGCTCGCCACGCCTGTAGAGCACGGGGCCCTCCTCGCCCTGCTCCGGCAGCCGCACAACGCGGTCACCAATGTAGTCAATGAAACACTTCACCTGTGGTAGGCTCCACATTGCGAACGCCACGTACGAATTGATGAAGAAGCTTGCGAGTGCCCATTTTTGTTCTGTGGTCAGGGTGTCGTCAGCGCCCGCACCTTCATTCTCCACCACGTAAGAGTAGAAGTTGACACGTGGCGCTACACGCGGCACGGGGCTAATTTTCTGAAACCCGGTCTCACCCTCTTCGCCATGGCCTTCTTCCTTCCTCAATTTACTGTCACTCTCTTCCATGCTCTGATCATACTCATCATAGATGTCGGCCTTTATGATGCGCTCAATGACGTCCTCCAGAGTCACAATGCCTATAATATGACGCGGGGACCTACTAGCTGGTGATGATCGGGATGCAATAACCTTAACCTGTGACGGCACAGTGTGCCGATCCTCTGATACTGTTGTCATATTGGCTGCCCCTGCTCCCACTCCTTCTCCTCCCACCTCGCTCAACTGATTTTCTACCAGTTCTTTCTCCACAAGGAGAAGGTGCGAAGTCTTCGATAAAAAGACACGCAATAACTCATGAAGCATCATCGTATCAGGAACAATGAAAATATCACGCGGATTCAAATCTAACAGACTCCCAACGGTGAGGTTCCCATCCATCTGCTGCAACGGGATATTGATAAGATCCCTCACGTACAGCACACCAATGATGTCCGAAGGGCAATCGTTAGCGTACACGGGTAGTCGTGACTTTCCACATATCCACAGTTGTTCCAGAAGTTTTCGGGTAAGGGGAAGAGTACTCGCTAGCATCTGGGTTCTATCTAGTGGTGTAAGAATCCCTGAAAGGTTGGCTTCGTTCATCTCGAGGGCTCCAGTAATCATACGCATCTCATCGTCTCCAAGTCCACATTTGTCGGCATACTTTTCGAAATGGATGCGGAGTAACTTTTTTAATTCATTTCGGTCGTAAACGAGCCCCTCGTCATGAGTAACGAGGCACTCTAGCAACATCCCCAGTGGCTTCGCCACGGGGTAAAGCAAGAAAAGAGCAATGGACACAATAGGGGCACTCTTCGCCCCCACCCACAAGGCATACGGTCCCTTGTTACAGACACCCATGGGTATGATTTCAGCCAACACGAACACAACTACGGTGGCAACAATAAAGTTAACAAACTCTGTGGAACGCACCATGGCCGCCACCATTTGCGAAATGACAACTATTGCCAGCATGTTTCCGATAAGGAGAGTCGCCAAGAGCTGATGGCCATACCTTCGTATTGGAAGAATTTTCTTGGCGTACGTTCGGTCAGGCTCTTTGCCCGCGGATGATATGATATCGAGCATGATGAAGTCCATTCCAAACAGACCAATAGTAAGCCCGGCAAACATGGCAGCAAGTGCAACATTGAGGACACAAACACTTAGCAACAACGGGAATGGCCACGCTGCGTAGCCGTTGGCAATGGCGCCTTCTTCTTTGGTGTCCTTCGCCCCTGCCGCGGCCATTGCCTCAGCAGCTGTCCATAGCCACAGGAGAGGAGCGTACGATCCCACTCGCCTAAATCCCATACAGGAGTCTGAAAGAAGACGAAACGTAAACACAGACACACACACACACACACACACACACAAAATGAAGGGGAGCACGTGGGGGTACAAAAAGAAAAAAAAACAACAGATCAATAAAAAGGAAAAGAAGGAGCATTAAACCAGCAATAAAAAAGGCTTTGGGGACGCAACAGAGCAAACACAAATACAAGCAAAGAAACAAACAATTTTAAACTTTATGGTAATTTGACATCATCGCCAAATGTCCCATACAATTTGCGACTGCGAGGAGACACCAACAATGTGTCCTTGTCGCCCATACGCGAGGTGTGCACTGCAGCAGTCCCCACTGGTTGGGCTGAAGACACCCGTGATATGGGACGGTGAACTGTGTCTGTGTGTTTTTTCGATGTCAACTCACCCCCCTCATATGCGCGCATGTAGACAGAATTGTAAACAAGATACTGCTCGTATTGGTCCTTTCTGATGCGATACACTCGCGTTGGGGAGAGAACGACAGCGTCAAAATCAGGGACATAGTACGGTGATGTCAACGCCTCCTCCGCCAGCCACTCGAAGGAGCGCCGCTTGAGAGGAAAATTGTTGGGCCCAACCAACATATCCACTTTGCCTCCAAGCACCAACGTGAATGTCGTCGATGGTTCGCCATCGCGGTACAAGACGAAACGCTCCTCCGCCGCTCTAGAGATGAGATCGGGGTTGTGCCGCTCTTGGGGAGCCTCCATCCAAGATGTTGAAGGAGTTCGAAACAGACCAGAGCACTCAGCAGCGTTTGGCGACAACAACCTCGAGCTTGATGATCTCCTCTCGCGAGCATTTTGTTTGTGCGGCGTACTTGCCGCCGTATCAGGCGGCGGAATAAGCTGCTGGTCACCACAAGCGTCAAGCAGCATCTTCACATAGCCAGGATTCCACAGAAAGAACGCCTTCACTGCCCGGGTCAAGTAGTACGCGACAGCCCAGACCTGTGCCTCTGTCAGGTGCACATTTGCGTACGCGTGGACACCGTACGAGTAAAAATTCGCTCTTGGCACCTGCGTCGGCTCCGGAAGAGGCATGGGGATCCCACTCCCTTTCAATGGTACAGATATATGCGGGTTATCCACGTACTCGAAAACACAGGACCCATAGCGGTCATATTCATCGTAAATTTCCTCCTTGATAAGCTCCTCCACAACGTCCTCCAGTGTCACGACGCCGACAATTTTGCATCCCTCATCAAGAGAGAGGGACCTACGATAGAAAGAGTACATGCGAAGTTCATTTTCATCGTTTTTATTATTCTCATGAGCAGCCTCATCCCCAGTAAAGACAAGTAACATATGTGTTTTGGCATGTTGAAAAAATTTGAGAATCGTCGGCAACGGCGCGTTGACACCAACAGTGGCAAAGGGCCTTGATTTGGCTTGAACAAGGTCTCCAATAGTTGGGGGCGCCGTCCCAGTGTTTGTCAACGACACCGTAAGAAGATCCTTTACGAGAAGGACGCCGGTGTAGTTATTTGGTGATTGCTCGACAGGTATGCGGGAGCGGCCGCTGTTCCACAAACGCTCAATCACTTCCGCAGTGATGACTTCGTTGGCCTGTACTGTGGTTGTTTTCTCAATTGGTGTTATGATGTCACTTACCTTCTTCTCGTGAAAGTCCATTGCGGCGATCAGAAGTTGCAACTCAGATTTGACGAGACCACTACGGTCTCCGTGTGCCTCACAGTGAAGTATCATAAGTTTGCGCAGCTCATTGCGGTCGTATATCTGTCCCGCATCGTGCGGCACGAAACGGTCTAGCAGCTTCCCCATGGGCATGGTCACGGGGTATGCAAGAATCATGGCGACACGCACCAAGCCGCTTCCTGCCGCCGCAATTCGCAGAGAGTACTTTGACTTGCAGATAGACATGGGAAGTATCTCTGTGAAGATAATAATGATGAGTATGCTAATGATAAACCCACCGAGTGCATCATTATCACTTACAACACTTGTCATGGCACCTAGAGTGTTGAGCTCGTGCATGGTTTCCAAGATTACACCAACCTCTTGCACCACCAGCACGTTCATAAGCATGTTTGCCACAATCAACGTGCAGAGTGTCTGGTGGCCTTGGCGGCGCAACGGCAGTATCTGAGAGGCATAGGTGCGGTCCGGCTCTGGTCCACTATTTGCAATAATGTCAAACGTCAGCGTGTCCATGCACATGATGCCTATGGTTAATCCAGCAAACACAGCCGAAAGCGAAAGGTACACCCCAGTGCGTATAAAATGGTCTACGAGAGAGTAGATACGCTTTTCCATCTTTCGGTGTGTGACATTGACGCGAACTTCTTGTTCCGCACCTGTTACATTGAAGGGAGGAGTCTGCGCCGCTTCTACGATTGCCGTAGAAAGCAAAGCTGCAAGGAGGAGAAGCAAAAGACACCTCCGTACGCGAGAAGTCATGCCCTTTCCTCTTTTCTTCCACAGTACGCTAGCAACGCACCTCCAGCAATACGATAAATAATAATAATAATAATAATAATAATGCAAAAAACGCATGATGAGGAAAGAAGAAAAAGAGAGACAGCATCAGACAGAGGCAGTCGACACACGCCTATGGCATTACAGATGGTCACGGATCACCCTCCCCTCGCTTTACCTCTCCCCCTCACACACACACACACACACGCACGCATACACACAAGAACGCATCCACAATGCTCACCGAAACAGCATCCCCAGAGGTACACGCGCATAGAAAACGACGCAAAGGTTAAACAGCTTTTTTTTCTCTTGCGATTTTTTTTTCCGTCTTTTTTTTTTTCTTGCGTTACTTTCATTCCTTTAGAAGATGCCCATTCCTGATGAGTAGTACATGGGCCGCTTTCCGGGGTGTGGCACGTGTGAGAATACAATGATATTAGGCTTCATGACTCCACCTGTGAATCGTATGTAAGCGCCCTTGTTGCCCATCTGGTCACAGTAGTTGGGCGCACTGAAGACAGTGATGCACTTGCCGTCGTGGGCCACCTCGTAGCCTTCATCCTTCACCTCGTGCGAGCGCACCACTAACGTCAGGTTGTTATTCTGCAAGAACTTCTCGGTCACATCAGGGCCAAAGGAAGGGCAGTCAACGCCACGCTGGCTCGGCGACCGGCCCGGCATTGGCTGCGGGTCCGCCCAGAGACTCGCGCTGAGCAGTCCATTTTCCGGGATTTCGCGGAAGCGGTTAAACTTCTGCAACTCGTCTAGCGTCACGTCGTCACGCGAGTAAAGCCCACCGTGCACGACGAAAACTTTCTTGTTAATCACGTGACCGACCGGTAGCGCGTTGAAGACCTCGGAGAAGAGATTGAAGACCTCCTTGCTGTACTTCTGCGTCACCTCGCCTTCGAAGCCGTAGACGCGGTTCATGGACAAACTCTCGTGGTTGCCGCGCGAGATGAACATGCAGTCCGGATACAAAATCTTGTAGGCAAACAAGGTAACGGCGTTCTCAAGCGAGTAGGAGCCGCGATCCACAAAGTCGCCGTTGAATAGATACCAGTTTTCCGGGGACGGGCATCCGTTGAGCTTGAATATGTTGAGAAGGTCATAGTACTGTCCATGTGTGTCACCGCACACAGTGATGTTGCGGCCTTCCGGCACTTCAATTGACACAAAGTTCGGGTAACTCTTGAACAGCTTTAGCACCTCCAACAATATGAAGACAACGTCTCGTCGCTCAATAAGTTTTTCAACGCGGAAACGCTCTATCATGGCCTCCACGAATTGCGGCGTGATCTTATCATTTTCAATGCGCGGCCCATCGTAGTCGGGGCGCCCAGCATCTCGCTTGATTGTCCGCGACACTGGCTCGCCATCGGGCGTGTTAATGGCGTTCTCAAACCGGATACGACGCACCTCCTTCTCACAGAATTCCAGCTTTGCCTGCGCATCCTTATCACCAGGAACGAGCTGCACCACCGTCTTGAAGTCCTTCACTGCCTCCTTGTGCTTGCCAAGGTATAGGTGCGAGGACGCCTTGCGGTAGTACGCCTTAACGAACCCAGGCTCGAGCCGCACCGCCTCGTCGGCATCAGCGAGAGCGGCACCGGGGAGCTCCGTCTTGAGGTACGCGAAGGCGCGGTTGCACAGCAGCGCCGGTGTCTTGTAGAGCTCGATGGCTGCGCTGTAGAGCTCAATGGCGCGATGCCACTTACCCTCCTTGAATGCCTCATTGCCCTGCTCCTTCAGCCGTTCCGCCTCCTCAGCAGCTCCCATTGCCTGCGGCTGCGACGTTAATGAGGTACACACGCGCACGCTCTTGATTCCTTAGATGCAACGGGGCCCGAG